TGCGATGCATGGATTGGTTGAAACCATGTGTTTTTCAGGTTGAAACCATGGCCTTTCCATAGGTTTTCCATGTTTTTTCTCATGAAACATTTTTTTTTCCATGGGTTTTCCATGTTTTTCCTCATGAAACATGGGTGTTCCATGGTTTTTCCATGAAATACGTTGATATCTATTGAAATATCGAAGTTTCCTATGCTTTTCTTTATGAGCTTTCCCTGACACCAATCCATTGATACCTGCGGAAATGGGACGGCCAGAAACTATCGGCATGGCCTAGGAAGAAAATCGGTAGAATCTCATGATCTCTCAGGGCCTCAAATTTTCATAAATTTTCTGAATGTTGGAGATGGTTCCCCCCTATTCTAACCATCATTCAACATCCTTGAAACCACAATCCTTTCCAAGTTTTCAACTGCCAAGTCGCCTCCGTCTCCGGCAGCCAAAGTTCATGTCCACAGCAGGCCTGCCAGCACAGGGTAAGGGAAGTTTGGATGAACTCAGATGTTTTTTTTTCAAAAAGTGGTTCTCCACAGCTCCAGATCTACCATGATATACCATGATGTACCATGATTTGTAGCTTTGAACCATGGTATATCATTTGAACCATTTCTTGCACACAGGGGTTGGATGGTTGGAATATGGGGCACGCCTCTAATGGCACCAAACAAAGAAGTTCGTCTGGATCCACATTCTCCAGAGCGCCTTGGGTGGATCAGGATGGTGTTCAAGCTGTTGCTGCATGAGAACCTATGACAAAGCTACTTTATTTAATTAACTTATTTGTCGGCCCAGTCGGCAACCCAGAACGAACTTAGTTTGAACCAAACACACTCAAGGTGGAAAGTGTGACGAAAGGGTGGAATGAAAACATAACGTACAAACATGTTCGAAACATATGAAAACCTTATAGTGACTAATGTTCCTCGTAGATTGTTGAAGGCCCTTAAGCAACTAGCAGTTCCAAAATGTTCCTTGCACCTATCTGATCCTTGCACTGTTGGGGCGTTGTATTTTGGGGTGAACTTTGACCCAGTCTTCATTTTAATGGTGACTTGTTGCGAAACCAATTTCCTCCATGCAGTGATTATATAGTGATTGTATTGGTCTTTCATCATATAGTTAAGTTATTATATATAATGTTTCCTCAATGCAGTAGCCATGATAAACATGAATTATTGGGATTCTTTGATGACTAAAGATTATCAATTTATGAATACGATGGCATATTATAACTATATCATAATCATAACAATAAATTATAGCTGTAGATTATAACTATAGATTCTATAATAACTAAAGACTATGTATTACTGTAATTTATGAATCTTGGGATTGTATATTTCTTTACAATCACAATGATAGATTATGAAACACATCAAGTGGACTGATCACCTATGGTTGTTCACCCATAGGCAATGGTATTGTCAACGAATGACATGACTATAGATGATTACTATAGGTGGAAAATATTACTATAAGTCAACTACTTGGTAATGGTATTGGATTATCATTGTATTATTATTTACGATTTGTCATTACTATTGATTACTATAATAATAATCCAATGAAAATCCAGGGGTGCTATTACCTTTACCTATTTGTTTACCATGATCATTTCTGTGATAAATAGCGGTGATTTATGATGAACCATTCCAAGCTGTGTTCCATCACCAAGGAACGAACACCACGACCTGTGGCTGTGGGAGTGTAGAAGGCTAGTCCTGAGGAACAGCTGACAGAGAGATTTTTCAATAATTTCAAGATGTTCCTAGATTAGTCCATATATATGAACATAAATTTCGATACTTTTCAATGGTTTTCCCATTTTAGATTTTGGCAGGTTCTAATATTTTTTGATTAAATCATACAAAAAGAGAACATCGCAACAGTCATGGGTATACATTGCTCTGTGCTCCACTTTGGAATCGCCAAGTTGGTGTATTTGCCTAAGCAATTTGTCAAAATCTCGCGAACTGATGGTGGTTATAAACCAACAAACAGGTCACTGTTTGTCTGGTTGGTGGTTTCAGCCATCTTGAAAAATATTAGTCAATGGGAAGGGTTATCCCATATATTATGGAAAATAAAACATGTTTGAAACCACCAACCAGTTGTTGGTTTATAAAAAACGTATCACTAAGTTGGGCTGATGGTAAAACCAACGAGTGGCAGCACCTTACGTAGGTCCAGAAACCTGGGTACCGAGTCAGCCAGAGGGATAGAAGATGAGTACATATAATATACATGTGAATATATTATTATTATTATTGTTATTATGAGTGCTATTGTTGTTAATTAGTACTATATTATGTCATTATTATGTACTATTAGCATCGTTGAACTGATCATGAACAATCAACCTGTTATGATTAGTTCAACATTCTTTTTGTTTCCACCGCCACCGAACGGCACACGGGCGATCTCTCTTTTCAACTGTTTCTGACCGAAATTTCGCCCGACGGGGTGATCGATGGAATGGAATGGAATCTAAGGGTGCCTATCTAGCTACCTTCCCAACATTTGGTGGCTTCATAAGCACCATTCAGAAGAGTTCATAGCTGGTTGGTGGTTTCAACCCATCTGAAAAATATGCTCATCAGTTGGGGTTATTATTCCCAATATATGGAAAATAAAAAATGTTCCAAACCGCCAACCAAACAGGGCTTTATGATACGTTAGTACACACGGATCTTAGGATGTCATAAAATTGCACCCCAAAATCATCCCAGATTTTTCACGGGAAAATCAATGGTGGCAAAGGGTACCCCAATTTTCAAGATCCTACCTAGACAAAAAAATGATTTGGCTTGTTCTGAAAATAGGGTATCCCCAAATTGTGGTGGTTTATCATAGTTTGCCCAATAAAACTTGTTACAGCCATTTGGGTGGTATACACCATTTTCAGACACCCAAAAATCATAAGGTAGATAGATATCACATTATCCCAGTATATCCAAGAAATGGCACTGTTTTTGCTAATTACAAAACTCTAATTAATGTCTAGATGTTCATGATTCAAAAACACTCATTATCCTTATGTTTGTTGGATATGTATCCCATTATCCCTATCCATTAACACTCATTTTAGTAGCATTTTGGTTGTTAATGTGTAATCATACACGATATCCTTAAACAACACGCTAGCTATTTGTAGGTATGTTCTTTCTTGCTGAATATCCATAAGATTATCCCTATTATCCCATGAGAGATCCATACCATACCCTCTGGTAAACGTTTACATAACTATGGAAAATCACCATTTTAAAGCTGGGTAGATCAATAATCAACTATTTCTATGGCAATTTTCTATTTGTATGTTTACCAGGCCGGGTATTCCTATTTGTTTCGTGCGGCGATCTTTTCCCATCCGGATCCATGGTCGACGTCCAACGTTACGACGTCCTGGGTGGGTCACAATGCCCCGGCCCTTGGCCCAGCGCAGCAGCGCGGCATCGACGGCATCGACGGCATCCATGGCAGAGCGAGGCTCCCGGGGGCCTGGCGAACCTGTACAATGCGAGGCCCCCGTTCGATAGCTAAGTTGGTTTATGACTCCAATTTCACTATGGTTTATGGTAATTAATGTCAACCCTGGATTAATAAACCCCTAGGCTGTTTAATTGGGAGGGTACCATTTAAGTATCAGATAATGACTACTGGAGGAGTACCCCCCTAATTAATAAACCACGGTTTATTAATCCGGGGTTGACATTACTTACAACTATGGTTACTGGTGCTTATAAACCAACAAACATAACTGGGGGGGGGCCCACATCGTAGAGATAGTTGCGATAAACAAATCCAGTTGGCTTAGTTGGGTCACGAACTAGTTCGGTTAGTTAATCCCAACTATCTAGGTTAATTGGGATTAGTATGGATTAGTTACAACTACTAGATTAAGTAGATTACAGTAATAACCATTCCTATTCAGATTATTAATCCCTATGAATTCCTTGGAGATAATGTAAACTTGGGACTAATAATTCCCCAGGGAAAAAAAGGGGGTTAGAAATCTGGGGTGGGCATGACATACCTAAGCGAAACTAGAAGAGGCTAAACTAAAATAAACTAGAATGAACTAAACATAAGTCTAACTAATTAACCTGTTCGATATTGCTTTGACTTTCAAGTCACAAAAAAAGGTGGTTAGTTGCACAGACAGTCATTGTTGTGCAGTTCTCCTTTCCTGGCTCTTGCATGACGTGCTCCCTGAACTGTCAACCGATGGCCCATCTCTCGATAGTGCTAGTTTTCCATGCGGTGCTGCACATCTTCCAGCATTGGAGCCAAACATCATGAGGAGATGCTGACCGACAGTAGGGTTACTTGGTGTTTCATCCCACGAATCGTAAGTGGGTTAGTTCACCCTATATATTTATAAGATGTTATAAGTGGACATTGCCCCTACTTATCCCATAGCAAAACCAGGGTGAACTAACCCACTTACGATTCGTGGGATGAACCACCAAGTAGGGGGCCGGAGAACCACCCAATTTTCACCGACACCACAATTGGACGATGAATCGAAAACAAGGCTACGAAATCCACCGTTCAGTTCGATGATTTTCCCACTAAGACTACCATCTAACGCATCCAAATTTATATAGGTTAATAGTCAACCTATAGTTAAATACCTTTTTATTAACCAAATTTGGTGAATACCTCTATTAACCATAGGTGAGTTTTTTTTTCCATTGACGTGGTCAATAGGCAATTGCCCATGTATATCGACGAGGGTGAAGGGGATTACCCACAAAATCAATTCTGTAGCGATGCGACAATCCAAAGAACAACACAAAAATCCTAAAAGTTCTGCATGATTTTTTATATAGTTTGTTGCTTATGGTAATGTTATAAACCCTATATAAGTAATGATCTTATGTAATGATGAAATTGATGAAATCGAGATTTCATCAACATTTTTCTGCTCAAACCCCCACTGATACCATGATAAACCCAGAAAACTCTCCAGACCGCGCTTCGGGTCCGGGTCCCCAGACCTTGGGTTTTTTCTTCGCCTTGGGCGAATCTGCCTCACTCTCATCCTCAGCGGGCAGGGCAAAACTGTTGTTTTTTTACCTTGAAATCTGCTGCTTTCCTACAACATTTTCCAACGCATTCTGGTAATGTTTGAACTTGGGTGAAGAAACCCTCGGACATGATGCTGAATTAATTTCCCTATAAATTATGGTCCAATTCCCTCTTAATGATCGTTACGTTGTGTTAAATGCCCTATAAATGATGCTGGACTCCCCGAATGAACCATTAAAAAATTCTATAAAATTCATAAGTATGTGTAAATTAAATGAATTATTATATTATATATTATATATAATACTGGTTGGTGGTTTCAACCCTGAAAAATATTAGTCAGTTAGGATTATTATTCCCAATATATGGAAAAATAAAACATGTATCAAACCACCAACCAGTTATATATATATATACACCTAAATTTATGATATTAATGTATATTGATTAACCTCCATAAGTTTTTCCATGCTGACCATTCCCTTCGCTGCCAGGCGGCGGTCAGGGCCGAGGCTTGCGAGGCGGCACTGGTGGCGCTCGCCATGCTGTGAAAGCTCTCGCCCGTCTGACCTCGAAACTTCGGTCCGGAACGGAGACGGGGGTTTGGCACGAAGGAAGGTGGGAAAAAAGCCACGGAAAGCATAGGAAAACCATGGGAAAACCATGAGAAAACGATGGAAAACGATGGAAAACCATGGGAAAACCATGGAAAACCATGGGAAAACCATAGGAAAACCACAGGAAAACCGTGGGAAAACGATGGAAAATCAGGCAGTTCCCTCTATGGTGTACTCCCCCTGGTGCTATTTTTAGCATCGTGAGGTTTTCCGACAACTGCATTCTGGATTTTTCATAGCTTTTTCATAGGGGAAAGCGGGCAATCGAAGATCCCCTGTAAATGGAGGTTTGAATAGGAAAAAAACACATTGACATCTATAAGTGGTAGACAGTGGAGGAGTTGTGAGCCTCTGGTTGATTAGAAACACATCTCCCAAACCCATTTTAGCGCGTCTGAAAGTTGTGCCAAACCACAAATGGCAATCAAAAATCCTCGACCGAAAGTGATGATTCACCAATGGATCGGTGTTTTTTCCCACCAAAAATCCCAGTGTATCCCCATCAGAACCAAGCAATAACACCCTATTCACCCCATCAGAACCATGGTGCCCGTTACTGCCCTTTTTATGGTTTTGAGGTCCTAAGTCAGGCAGGACACCCATTTCTTCTGCTCCCTCGCCGCTGCCAGTCTTCTTTTTCCCTGGCACAACGATTTTTTTGCGAGCGGCCTGGGTCCCAAAATCTTAGAGTTACATGCAATGTTGAAACATGTTGAAACTACAAAAAACGATTTGAACCAAGAAATTGAGCAGTGGAACATGATGGATGTGGAAACCTGCAGCATTTGGAGATGGGTTGTTGCAACTTATGGTGATTACTTGGGATGGTTTATGGCATCGATGGTAACATGGATCCCATCAATATACCCCATTGATGTTGGACATTTTGTAGTGATTCAATGGTGATTTACTGGGACTTCAAAATGTGATTTAGCGGATTATGAATGGGATATAGCATGATATAGCCTCTGGTAATTTAAGTTACCCCATTTATGGAATGAAACAATCATACCAATCATCTACTAAGATGCGACACCTGGTCGATGGCCACGTGCTGGGAGAATTCTCGAAATCCGGTGCGCTGAAATTCCCAGAAACTGCTTCAACATCATGGATATCAATAAAAATGGTGGGAATAGTAAGGGAAACTATTCCAGAAAATTGCATCATGGAATCATGTCCATTTTGTGACTCGAATTCAGGCGACTTACAATGCAGGTGACTTACCACAATTCATCCAGAAACGTTACACAAGGCTCCCGATCTTCATGCAAGTTATAAATGATAGATGAAAATCCACCATCATCCAATTCGTTGATCTCAGTACAACTGCGTTCGAAAACAAAACACGATGCTTGGAGTTCCCATCATTCGGTTGCTTCAAAGACTCATTCCAGGTCCACTTTTCGCCTGAGTTTTCTGGGTCGAGGGTTACTAAGTAATGTAGTAATGATTAGTAATGAATATATCCCCATTTGATGATGCTTAAACCTCCATTTCTAGTCAACAATTCCCAGTTTCTTTTTTGACAACAATTCGGCCGCCTTTCTTCTTGGGTTTCTCCTTCTTCCCCGCTTCGGATTCGGCGTCAGCCTCCTTGGCGGTTGACAAAAACAACATGAGGAAGAAGGAATTGGGAACCTACCCTCTGGTAAACTAACATAGCTATTGAAAATGACCATTTATATCCATTTATAGCTTGATTTACCCACAAATAATTGTGATTTTCCATAGTTATGTTAGTTTACCAGAGGGTAAATTTGGGACACTAAATTCATGGAGAACCATGAAAGACATAAAATGATTGCCAATTTTTGGGAAATCACATATCGTCTGGAAGTCTTAGTCTGGCGCAAAACAATACTCCAGAAACATCCTTGTGAAAGTTCAACGGATATCACAACGAATGTTTATCTCCATAAAATTGGTATGAATGGTTTGAGACTTTTACACGCAAACTGCTGGGCCCCATGCCCTGCAATGCCCGCAACAACAAATCATTAGATCTCTGAAAGTGTGGTCTCTCTCAACATGCTCTCTATTCGACTATCAGAACTATCATTCCAATCCCTGCGATGTATCTCTTCCAGCCACAAAACATGTTGTCGTGAACAAAAACGCCTTGGCTTTAAAGAACATCTTGAAATTTGGCGACATACCCATGCGACGCTGCCAAAATTTCCATGTTTTCAGGTGGCACCCCAAATATATGATGTGTCTTTTGTTGTTCCGAGCATGTCATAAATAAATGGCCTAATAAATGGCCTTTACATGCTTTAGTCTCGGGGTTTTGAATGTGTGTTGCTACTTGGCGGTTCATCCTCCTTCGTAACAGTATAGGTTAGTTTATTCTATATAGTTATAACTGAACATTACCCTACTGAATTAAGTTGTTCTTCGCATGCCTTATGATTTTTGGACATTTTTGGGCATTATGTCATAGATTTTCATAGATGACGTGTACCGTGACGTGTGAGGGTCCAACTTACTAGTAGGGAAGAAAAACTAAAACATGCTTTAACACATTACGAACTATCTCATAGGATCCATGGTGCTGCTATATATTGTAACATGGATCCCATCAATATACTCCATTCATGTTAGCATAGCTACCAGCACCATGGATCCGTCATGGGTAATTATTTTTCGGCACTTAAATCAAAACACCAACCTCTGACTACAGCAGTGTACCAGCACCCTCCGGTAAACGTTTACATAGCTATTGAAAATGCCAATGTTTTCCATGGGTAAATGCCAACTATTTCTATGGCCATTTTCAATAGCTATGTTAAATTACCAGAGGGTATCAATTGTTGACTATAGTTTTCCACATCGCGCCCGAAAAAGAAAAAACAACACATAGATCCCCCTTGGCGAGTCACGACTATTTTTCTACCGACGTGCTACGAAAAAGTATGACATGACCTGGTCCCAACGTCGGATGTTTTCAAACGAGAGTTCCTTTGATCATCACGAAATGTAGGATTTTTGTTGCCGAATTCTATTGCACCAACAAACTCATGATTTGCATGATATGCAATTATAATGTCTTATGTAATTATATATGACATTAAGATCATATGACTATAGAATACTATAGATGCATACCACCCAACAAGAGTAGCCTTATTTTTATGCTTTGGTACTCTTTTTATGTACCAATCAGACCCCAATCAGACACCCCCGGTTTCGACCCTGCCGGGGGGCCCGGGCCGTCATGGAATCCGTCTTCGCGTGCGAAGCTTCGGCCTATGAGAATTTGCTGATGGGACCCATGGGACTTGGGAAGATGATCGGATATATCAATGATAAAATGTGAGGCCCCCGTTCGATAGCTAAGTTGGGGCTAACTAATCACTCCAATTTCTCTATGGTTTATGGTACTTATAGCTATAGTTACTGGGGCGAATCTAAACCAACGTATAACTAGGGGGCCCCACATTGTATAATGTGAAACCCAAATAACTGGGATATTGATGGGTTAGCATGTTTTAGCCATGGTACTTTAGGAGTAAACCAATGATGATCCATCTGAAATAGTGATCTCGCCTAGATTGGTTGAAATAAGTAAATGACAGAATGATCAAGCATCGTTTGGTTTGGTCATCCAATAAGATTCATTCACGTGATATTTCCCCTCAACTCAAGTTCTGTTTTATTTTTTTCAAAATATGTTCTTTGGTGCATCTAAAAAGATATTGTTTCAAAGATATGAATTTATGTCAGGGGAACTGATTGTGCGTTCTGTTTCAAGTTATTTCAATATCTGGTTGGTGGTATACCTACCCCTCTTAAAAAAATGAGTTCGTCAGTTGGGATGATGGAATTCCCAATCTATGGAAAGTCACAAAATTCATGTTCCGAAACCACCAACCAGTGAAAAATGTTGAACATCAATACTTGATATTCAGAATGATGTTCAACATTTTCAGAAATTACATCTTCACATATATTATATATTCACCAGTTATTTCAATACATTTTTTCGGAAGTTTGGTTGACAGTTAAACAACCGAAACTCCTCCGACCAGAAACCAACCCTCCGAATTCGATCATCGAAACACCCCACGTTTCGTAGGGGAAAATGGGCACGTCAACGCGTCGAAGTGAAGTGAAATCCCCATAGAAATAGATGGTTTACCTATGAAAAATGGTGATTTTCCATAGCTATATGTTAAATAACCAGATGGGTTGGTGGTTTCAAGCTACCCCTCTGAAAAATGATGGAGTGAAAGTCAGTTAGGATGATGCCATTCCCAATATGATGGGAAAAATAAAATTCATGTTCCAAAGCAACAATACAAAAATAGTTATTACCTATTTGCTGGTGAAAACCATTAGTAACTGCGACCATTCACCAAGGACACCGTCGGTGGCATTCAGCAAGGCAGCAGCCTCTGGTTATGTAACAGTTTGCTATGGAAGCCATGACCCAGTTGTAGATGATGTACCTATAAAAAATGGTGATTTTCCATGGCTATGTTAAATAACCAATACGGGTAAATGGGATGGTTTATGGGTAGGTGAACGTCCCAGCTTTCCATATCTTTCCAATATATATAGATATATGTAATATGTATCCAGAGATGGCAACAACAGTTGTCCAATTTCAGCTGACGACTCCTGACGACTCCTGACGACTCTGACGACCTCGATCGCTGACGACTCCTGACGACTGCTGCCGACTCCTGACGACTGCTGACGACCCCTGACGACCCCTGACGACCCCTGACGACCCCTGACGACCCCTGACGACCCCTGACGACCCTGACGACTGACGACTGACGACTCCTGACGACTCCTGACGACTCCTGACGACTGCTGACGACCCCTGACGACCCCTGACGACCCCTGACGACTGACGACTGACGACTCCTGACGACCCCTGACGACCCCTGACGACCCCTGACGACCCCTGACGACCCCTGACGACCCCTGACGACCCCTGACCGACTGCCACAGGAGATCTTTGTCCGTTTTGACGCCCCTGTCTCTGACCTTTGTTCGTGTGTTGAACGTATTGGTTTGTAGGGTGGATGGACGGGAAATTTCAACAATTTACCCCACATATTCTGTTGAGCGTATTGCTTTGTGAGGTCGAAGGGGTTAAATCATGTTAAATCTATAACAATGACTCATATGCTAAACCTATTGCTTTGTAGGGTCGAGGGAGATAAGTTTCAAAAATGGCTCAAGATGCCAATGTTCTTCACATGTTCAACATATTGGCTTGCTGTAGGAGAAGGAATTAACGAATATAAGAATGATTACATTTCATTTTGTTCATATATTCAACGTAATAATTTCCAGGGGAAGGAAAAGACACCTTAAACATGGTTCATGATGCCAAGTTGTTTTATATGTTGAACGTAGTGTTTTGGTAGGGGACAGCGGGGAAAAAACATAACAATGACTCAAGATTCCAAATTGGTTGATATGTTGAGCGTAGCGTTTTAAAAGGGATGGGGGGAGATGGAGGGAGTACATTCAAACTTCAAAACAACGACTCAACATGTCAACTTTGTTCATATATTACAGGTACTGCTTTGTATTTTGTGGAGTCGACGAGAGGTTATAAATTGCAAAAATAACCCCACATGTCAATTTTCTGCACTTGTTCAACCGTTTGCTTTGTAGGGTCGAGGGGGGCTAAATTTTAAGAATAACTCGACGTGTCAACTTTCACCGTAAAAAAAACTCGACGTGTCAACTTTCACCGTTTTTTTTAACGTATTGCTTTGTAGGGTCGAGGGACTGTAAATTTCAAAAATGACTCAAGATGCCTTTCTTTCCATGTGTTCAACGTATTGTCTTGTCGCCGGGGAAGGCAAGGAACATTTTGACATAAGTAAAGATGCCATGCTGGTTCATACAGTAAACATAGCGTTTCGTAGGGGACAGGGCAGGTAAATCCAAAAGAATGAATCAACATGTCAACTTGATCCATATGTTGAATGTATTGCTGTGTATGGTCCAGTGGGCGTAGATTCCAAACATGACTCGAAGTTCCAATTTTGTTCGTTCAACGTCTTGCTTTGTTGTAGGGGAAGGTAAAGACATTTCAAACATGACTCAGGATGCCAAGTCGGTTCATATGTCGAACAAAGTGTTTTGTAGGGGGCCGGAAGGTAAATCTATAGCAATGACTCAACATGTCAACTTTCTTCATATGTTGAATCAACCGTATGGTTTTGAAGGTTCGAGGGGGGGGTAAATTTTCAAAATGACACCACGTGGTAACTTTCCGCATACAATGAACGTATTGTTTTGTAGGGTCGAGGGGGGTAAATTCGCAACAACGATTCCACGTGTCAACTTTCTTCCAACGTTGAACATATTGCTTTGTAGGACCGAAAAAGGGAATAAATTGAAAAATTGGTAACTTGAGAAATGACTCAAGCTGAGAATTGCCCCCATGTGTTCAAGATATTGTTTTTGTGGGGGAGGGCGGATGAAAAAAGATGACTTAACGTTTCAACTTTGTTCCTATCTTCAAGGTTCTGACTTGCATGGAAAAGGACATGTTAAACACGTCTCAAGATGCCAAACAGGTTTGTTTATTGAACGACTTTGAACGTATATTTTTGTAGGGCACAGGGGAGTAGATCTTTAACAATGACTCAACATGCCAAGTTTGTTCATTTGTTGAAGGGGGTGCTAGCTAGGTAGGGTCGAGGAGATGTAGATTTTAAAAATGACTCCGCATGGAGTTTCTTCATACCTTAAACCATTTGTCCGGCAGGGTCGAAGGGACGGAAATCCCAAGCATCACTCGACATGCGAAATCTCTCCATATGTTCAACGTGTTGTTTTGTAGGGTCGATGGGCTGTAATTTTCAAAAATGACTCAAGATTCAAGTTTTCATGTGTTCAATGTATGGTTTTGTTGCAGGGGAAGGCAATGAACATTTTAACATAAGTCAAGATACCATGCTGATTCATACGTTAAACAAAATGTTTTGTAGGGGACAGGGCAGGTAAATCCAATAGAATGAATCAACATGTCAACTTGATCCATATGTTGAATGTATTGATTTGTAGGGTCAAGGTGTTGGTAAAATTCCAAAATGTTCAACTATTTTCTTTGTACAGTAGGGTCGAGAAGGGTAAATTTGACAACTGACGCGACATGTAAGCTTTCTCGGTATGCAAAAGGTTTTATTTTGTAGGGTCAGTCGAGGGATTGTAAATTGCAAAATGACTCAAGATGCCATTTTTCTTCATGTGTTCAATGTATGAATTGGAAAGGGAGGGTGGTGAAATGTTTCAAGACAAATCAACATTTCAACTTTGTTCATACGTATATTCAACGTATTGATTTTTGAGGAATAAAGAATACTTTTTGAACATGACTCAGGATGCCACGTTGGTTCATATGTTGAACGTAGTGCTTTCAAGAGGACAGCGACGAAATCTACAAAATGACTCAATATGCCAATTTTCTTTACATGTTTAACGTACTGCTGTGTAGGGTCGGGGGGTCGTAACTTTCAAAAATGACTCAAGATGAATTGGCTTAATTTGTTCAACGTATTGTTTTGTTGAAGGGAAAGGAAATGACATTTGAATCATGACTCGAGATGCCAAGTTAGCTCTAATGTTGAACGGACGTAGTGTTTTGTAGGGGACGGGCGGGCAAGTTTGTAGCAATGACCCGACTCAACATGTCAACTTCATGGTAAGGTCAGGGGGGGAATAAATTTCAAAACTGGCTCAAGATCTCAATTTGTTTCATGTGTACATTCATATTGTTTTGTGGCGGGGGGAGGCATAAAAAAAATGAACTGACTTAAGTCTTCATCTGTGTTCATAGTCAACGTGTTGCTTTGCAAGGGAGGAAACGATATTTTAAACGCAACTCAAGATGCTACGTTGGTTCATATGTTCAACTATGTTAAACGTAGTGTTTTGATGAGGTAAACCGATGAGAAGAACTCAGCCAGTCAACTTTTTCCATAAGTTCAACATATTATCTGGTAGGGTCGATGGGTGGTAAATCACAAAATTGACTCAAAATGCCAATTTTCTTCGTCTGTTCAGCGTATTGTTTTGTAGGGTAGGGTAGGGGGGCTGAAATATGTGAAAATAAATCAACACTTTTGACTTTGTTCATAAATTCAACGTGTTGTTTTGTGAGGAAGGAAAAGACATGTTCAACATGATTCAAGATGCCCAGTTCGTTTACATGTTGAATGCCTTGTAGGGGATGTGTTTGAAAATCTATATAACACTAACTACATGTGTCAACT